AAGATATTTATATATTATATATAAATAATATATACCATTGTCTCAATGCTATATATATATGTAGCACTGAGACAATGCATTAAGCCATTTTGTTGGAGTGGGATATTGGGGAGAGGAAAGATTTGACTGTTATTACTGAATGTGGTAGTAACAGGCAAATATTTTTCCAAAGGATTTTTATTAAGCTCAAATTCCTGGGGATTCTGAATGCCAGCAGCCATCTGGGGCAATATCTCTCTCAACTCTACACTGGCATCACTAAATGCTTGACAAAAAAAGGTTGGTTGTGTTTAACCGAGTGGCACAAATGTGAGGATGGCTGGTGGATGTGGAGCTGGTGGTCCTAAAGTCCTGGCTCTTGTTCCTGCTGCTGGGAATTACCCAGTTTTGAATCAAAATCTTTTTGGCTAAGTTTTTCTTTAAGGGAGTTTTCCTCCCAGGACACAATCTTTGGTGACTAAGCTGTGTTTTATTGCCATAAACTTTCATGGAGCCTTAGGACTCTTAAGTTGGAGGTATAAATCTAGATAATAATGTTCAGAAAATAATGTATTGCCTTTGCCATCGGCAAATATAAAACAGGAGTTATGAACAGCTGCAGCCATTCTTGCATTTCCACATTCCATTGTCTGTTTTGCCGAGAATATTTTTGTCTTTAACAGAAATCCACCCCCCATTTTTTAACTTATTCAAGTCATTTGACTTGAGTAAAATGATGTGCCCTTGTTATATGTGTTTGTCTTCCTCAAAGATTCTATTCTGCTGAGCTATCTCCAGTTCTAGTTATTAAAAAAAGATCAGTTTGCAGATGCCACATTGATGAACGTGATGTAGAAATTCTGTTTGGAGGGTAAAATAGTAGAATTTCCCATATAGATTTTGCAGTAGAGAAAAAAAAAAGATCTGGGGTTCTCCTGAACTCCTTTTTGGCTCTGCTGTATGGACTCAAAGCCATAGATAGGGCTGAAAATATCTCATGTCCTCTCTGGGAAAGCCAGGTAGGTAAAGTTGGAAGGATTTTTCAAGTTGCCCAAATTATTCCTAGGGTGATAACCAGTTCATCATCTAAATGTGTTTTATTCCTGTCGCTGTGTTGTTCTGTGAATCTCAAAGTCAGGAGCACCCAACTCTAAACACCCAAGGAAAACTGATGGTCTAATAAAGCCTGGAAAAACCATCCTGAATTTATGCCTTTGCGGTACAAAAATGTCCTTGTCCATTTTATACCATGAGCAAATTCAATCTCCTTCCACATCTTCAGGTGTGAAAGGTAGAGATCAATTGCCCACCAGTCTCATCCTGGACCTTGTCCTTTAATTTCTGAATTTGTAAAACTGCTGTTTCAGTCATGATAGTGAGATGACAACAATGAAAAGCAGGAGAGCAGAAGCAAAACAAAGTTCAGATGCCTTTTGTGAAACAGGTTTTAAAGACTAGGATTAAAAAAATGAATTTTAGTTTGATTTAGGAAATTAAGGAGGATGGTATGAAAAAGCCAGCGTAGATAACCTGTGCCAGGCAGGTGGGGAGCAGTGCATTGCTGAGCCATGACAAGAAAGTCTCTCTGGTTTGGTTAGATGAGGACTTGGTGGGCAGAAGACCACCAGGCCTGAGTTGGAAGGTCCTGGCTGGTCTGGCAGCTGCTCTGCACTGGCAAGAGGTTTGAGAAACTGTCCTACTACACAAGCAGGTGACTGCAGAGACTGCTACAAAGCTAGCAAGGATGCTTAAAATCTCTTCTTATTTCTAAGTGTGAATGAGATTTGGACCCTCCTACTTGGCAGTTGGGAGATTAATTCCCAACCCCTTGCTGAGTGAGAGAATATCCAACTGCACCAGGAATTCACAGGAAATTGACAGTTTGAGCTCATTTGCCTTCTTTCTTTTACTTATTCTCAGGGTCCTGCTGGTGTTCCTGGTCCCAAAGGTAACCAGGTAAGTGATGACTTTCATGCTGTAGTCAGCAGAGGCATTTAAACCGTACCTTGGGCACAGCCTTTGACAGCACAGATGGCTTTTACTTCCTCAAATGAAAATATTCTACAGCAGGCACCAACAAAACCCTCTTTGGTCCCATTTTTCCTCTGTTGGTGAGAGAGATGTAGCCTGTTCTAATGGAGACACGTTCAAATGCTGTGATAAAAATGCTAGACTCTTGCTGTGTTATTTTGTAACCACAAAACACCATATATGAGCCATATATGAGCTCCTCACATCCATATATGAGCTCCTGACATCACGTTCCTCCCGAGTTAAGTTTAGAAGCGCAGCTTTTCACTGAACTTCGTGTGCCTGATGAAGAGGATTCATCCTAACCTCAAAGCTTGGCACACTAAGACTAATTTAATCTTTTCCTTTTTGCTGCTTAACTTCTCTAGTTGGATTCATCTTGGTGATGAGCTTTTGAGCCAGTTTTCATCAAATATCTGACTTATTATTAACGCCTGACTCTCTTTTTGCAGCAAACAAGTGCTTTTCCAGCAAGTGTCCCCTTGTTTTGTTTACTAGTGTCAGTGTCTGTTTTGTTGCTGAGGGAAAGACCAACCTAAACTCCACTTGTCTAGAAATAACTTCCTCTCTAAAGCCATAGAATCACCAGAACAATGTTAATTATCTGCTCTAATTGCTGTGTAATAAGCCAGCTCTGCTGCAGGGCGTTCCGTGCGGCCGGTGGCGGCAGATGGCAGCGATTCGTGTCACCCCAGCGAGGCTGGAATTGCACACGCTGCTGTTGGCTTAATGGAGGTGATCAAAAATTGATGCTCCTTGTCACAGCTAATAAAATTAATGTCACCAGAGCTTTAGCCACCCTTATGGTAGGGTCCCCAGACAGAGTGGAGAGGGATGGTCCTCCCCAAATGATGAACCCAAAATTTAGATTCCAATGCCAGCCTGCGAGTGTCTTCCATGGCCACCCCATCAGGGCTCTCAACTGTATGAATTCAGCCTTTCACCCAAGTACCAGCTTGTTGGAAAGGGCAGCTAGTCCTCATGCAAGCCGCCTTGTCACCAGGGGAACAGCTACTGTAGAGTTCAGCTTTGGGAAGAGAGAGGTTCCTTGTGCTGGAGCAGCTGTGTAAGCTGCCAAGTGCCCCCATCTCCCTTAGGAGTGGAGGTTATCCGAGTCTTGAAGTGAGCCTTATTGTCAATAATCTTTGGGTACTAATAGGTGCAGTGTTAATTCTGGTATCTCTCTTTCAGGGCATTGCTGGAGCAGATGGCCTCCCAGGTGACAAAGGAGAACTGGTAGGTGTCCTTAAATTCAGTAGAATTGACTCCTCAAATAACAGGTGGGTCTAGAGAACCATTTATCGAGAACTAATATAGTCAGTAAGAATTAAATGTCCGAGAGATCCAACAGTGATGGATGTGAAAAGGAGAAGGCAACCCAAGCCTTTCTGCCACGGTATTCACGGTGAAGAGGAGCTCTCCTCTTGCCTTCAGGAAGCACTGGATGGCCAGCATGGCCTTTGCAGAACTGTGGTGCATCGGCGCTCCTTTGTCATTTTGCTCCTCAGAGTGGTTGAAATTGCTCTGTCCCTGGGGTAGGTTGGTCCATCTCAAGAAGTAACTGTGTTGCTTGGACCTGAGTTCAGCACCCAGGGCAAGTCTCAGTGTCAGAGTACTCTCCCTGTTGTTCCAAGGCTGAATCTGGTCTCCAGCATCCTGTTATCCTTCCTCAGCCCTTTGCTAGAAAAGCCCATTAGATGCCATGCACATGTCATTGCCACTTCCCAGAGCTTGGGAGATTTGACTTTAGATGTGCTTTTTCTGAATAGATCATTCTTTATTTCCCTTTTCTTTCTAACAGGGTCCCTTTGGTCCCCCTGGACAAAAAGGAGAGGTATGTGTCAGACATTGCAGGCTCATGCCCCAAAAGGTTTGGGAGTAAACATGCTTATCACATCTTTCGATGATGTAACTCCATAAACTATGTTCTGGTGTTGACTCCTAGAAGCGTGTTTTTATCACAGCCATGCTATAATATCTGTGACAATGACAATTTTCTGTGGCATTCAAATATGTTTGATCATTTTGCTGCAGCGTGGACTCTTACTGGCATGAGCTCTATATGTAAAATCACCCATATGATGTAAGAAACGTACATGATCAGCCAGATCAGTTATGGAAACCCAAAGAAAGGCTTAGCTAATCCCTGTGAGAAAATTCTGGACTATATCTTCTGTTTGAAGTGTGGATTTTTGGTTTCTTTTCCCCTCCTTCTTCATTACAGCCAGGAAAAAGAGGAGAACTTGGTCCAAAAGGTGCCCAAGGACCTAATGGGACAGCTGGAGTACCAGGGATCCCAGGACATCCAGGGCCCATGGGTCATCAGGGCGAGCAAGGTGTTCCTGGCATCACAGGAAAACCTGGGCCACCTGTAAGTATTACCAGCTTCTGGGGGGCAGTCGAGGAGTCACCGAAGTGAATAAATGGATCGTGGATTTTGGATGTGTATTCCAAAAATAAGGTCCTGCTTCTGAGCAGGCACAAGTAGGTGAATGCATGTGTGAGCCAACAGTCTTGCATCAAGAGTTGACCAGTGCACAAAGACTAACAGCTCGCAAGCTTCAGAATTAAAATCCCCCCGAATGCGTGCCTTGGAGAGTCAATCTTCTCCCACAATGACCCATGGACAGATTATCTGCGTCCACTGGAACAGGCTGTAAGTCACTGTTATCATTACAAAAGTGACTTAGAAGTTGGCCATTTAAAAATACAATTCCTATTCACTGCTTCAAATGTTAGACCCCTGTCTTAATCCAGAGTTTGTGTTTCATCATTCAGGAAAAGGCCAAATAAACCCCAGATTAAATATCTGGCCTAACATTGATCTCTGCCATGAGTATGACAGAGCTTTGGAATTGAAGCCGTCATCTTTTGAAGCGAGGGAAAGACCCCACTCATCTTCATGTGGGATCCTGTGCTTCATACTGAGCTGCTGGAAATGAGTTTCACATCCTGAAGCTTCTGTCGGGGATGATTATTGATAATGTGGTTTGTATAAAGCCGGATTCTTCTCTTTAATTGCAGGGCAAAGAGGCCAGTGAACAACATATAAGAGAACTTTGTGGGGAAATGATAAATGGTGAGTATTACTGGGAGAAAACTGACTCTAGTTACTCTATTTAGCTGAAGATCAGTAGATCCTGAACATAAGATGGCTCCTGAGATTTGTTATTTTTCTGTCTTAATAAGAAAAAATACGTTGCCCTCTAATGTAAGGAAATTATTCAGGTCACCTTGTTGTCTGGGATGTCTTTCACTTTTCTAAATTTAGTATTTTTAAATGATTCATCACGGTGACATACACAGTGTGCTGAAAGCAGCTTTGACACAAGTATCGTGCACACGTGCTGGGAAGCGTGTCTGCCCTGAGCCGTGTGAGTCTGAACCTCAGCTCCCACCTCTTCCCCTCCACACACACCCCATCTCCCTGGAGCAGGGCTCCAGGCAGGGGCCACCTCCCAAGGAGTGATATTCTTCTTCCTTTGAAGTTGCTGGTCTAGATTTAAAAGTTATGTTCACCCTTTGGGATGAAGTTCAACTCTGAAATACTGTTTCAGAAAACTTGTTTGAAGTATTATTTTCTAGAAATACTTCATATCTTTTAAAGTGGTTTAGGAAACAGGAAATATCAATGGCTTAAAAACTTGCAGATTCCTGACCAAAATCTGACTCTGTGGAGATTTTAAAAAATAAAGCACCACAGATGAGGTGAGAGGATGGATTCAGTGTTTAGTTTTGTTCTGCCAGAAGCAGTAAGTGTCAGGGAGCAAGATCTGACCAAGCATGCAGCTCTGCTTTCCCCTCAGACACTTGGTTTTCAGCCGCTCACTCAATTAAATGCACTTGGTGGTGGACCACAAAGCAAAGAGTGAAAATGTTGGACATACAGGTTTTTAATTGTTCTTTTCAGAACAAATTGCACAGTTAGCTGCTAATCTGAGAAAGCCCTTGTCTCCTGGAATGACCGGTCGTCCTGGCCCAGCGGGTCCCCCAGGTCCTCCTGGAGCGATGGGAAGTGTTGGGCATCCTGGTCCTCGAGGTCCCCCTGGATACAGAGGGCCAACAGGAGAACTTGGTGATCCTGGTCCCAGAGGTAAGTGAGACTGAACCAACCTGCTCCTCTTTCACACTTACTCAAATAAATTGCAAATTTGTACTAATTTCAGCAGTGAGGGATAAACTGTGTCCAGTTCTGGGCTCCCCAGTTCAAGAGGGTGTCAGAGCACTGGGACAGGCTGCCCAGAGAGGGTGTGGAGTCTCCATCTCTGGAGATGTTCCAAACCCACCTGGACGCAGCCCTGTGTGACCTGCTTGAGGTGACCCTGCTTTGGCAGGGGGGTTGGACTGGATGGTCACCTGAGCTCCCTTCCAACCTCCACCATTCTGTGATAAAAGATGAAGCCTTGGGCAGACGATGGAGTTCTAGAGGACAGTTTGCATCTTTAGGGATGCAGTGTAAGCAGAGATCCTAGCAGTGTCCTCAAGATTTTGAGCTTCTCTTGGTCTTTCTCCTTCCTCTCCTTGGATCCAGCTGCAGGACACAACTCACTGTTTATATTATCTGTTTATGATTAAAGGTGACACTGGCGAAAAGGGAGATAAAGGACCTGTTGGTCAAGGTATTGATGGGCCTGATGGCGATCAAGGACTTCAAGGTAAGGCTGTGCAAATGATTTCATAAACCATGACTAAAGTAAAGGCTTCAGAGGGCAGCTCTGCATATTGTTGGCAGGGTGGTATCATCATCGCTTTGTTCCTGTAATTGTTACAGTAGGGTTGTTTTCCTGTGGGTACAGCAGGTGCAGATAATTTGAACAGCAGAATTTAATTAGCCCATCCCCTCTTCACTCCACTCCTGCCCAGTCCTGCATGTTTTGGAGAATGTATTTGAGAAAAGGCTGTTGGGACAGCCAGACCCTTCCTTTCTTGGTTTCTTTCACTATTGGCTGTAAAAGGTCAGGAGCTTTTACAGATCGAGAAGTCAGAACCTTTCTTAACTACTCCCACGTGGCTGCCAGTGTCAGAAGGTTATTTTCAGTGGTACTTCATAGGCAGTAATTAACTAGTTAATTAACGAGTAGAGTATCAGTTCATTTAAAGGTGTGTAACCCCATCTGGTTCCAGATTAAGGCAAAAGGATCATGCCTATTTCCTGATGGACACTCATCTTTTTGATGCTCTAGTGAAAGCTACAGCCTGGACTGGCAGCTACAGTCCTCCCAAATTCAGTTCATCTGAATTTCTGGATCAAATGAGAAATCAGGGACAATGTTTAATTTTACCAGAAACAAATACAACTTCCCAGTGTAATGATTTTGAGACATAGTGGTGTTACTGCTCTGTATCTGGTTATAATCCCAGGTCCTGAAGTCATGAATCCTTTATGAAAATTTCAAAGCTTTGAGTTAATGAATATCTGTTAGAAACTCAGAATAATATTCTTTATTTTGCTCACCTACTAAAGCAGCTTTTCTAATTATGATTACACCTAAGAACTCTAAAAGTAACACATAAATATATAAAATTAAAAAAAGGGAAGGTAATAATTAATCTAATCTTTTCCCCCTTCTTGTTTAGGACCACCTGGTGTACCTGGAATTAGTAAAAATGGTCGTGATGGTGCTCAGGGTGAACCCGGTCTCCCCGGGGATCCCGGTACTCCTGGTGCTATTGGGGCTCAGGGAACTCCAGGAATATGTGACACGTCGGCTTGCATGGGAGCTGTTGGAGCATCAACTTCCAAAAAATCATAAAACCACAGTACAAGAAGTGGAGAAGTGACTGAATATTTAAATAAATGGTGCATTGTAAGAAAAGAGTGATAAATGGACAGATGTTCCTTCTATTGTATTAAGTGGAGACTTGACACAGTTCTATGAAAAAGAAAGCATCAGATGAAAACTTTAATTAGAAGATGCTTTATGAGTATTTTCTTCTCCCCCCAATTATTTTCCAGAATTTTTACTGCTAAACAACCTCACTTTCCCTTTCTCCCTTTCTTCAAGAGGAAGCATTGTTTCATTTTTACCACCACTCCCCCTCAACTGTACTAAAGATCATGAATTTACTGTATAAATTGAATTGTCAGTTGAATTTCTTGGTGCTGCTCCCACTGACTTCAGTTAATGCCCAAACCTGCATAAGCTACACGTTGTTAAGGTATTTAGGCACCTAACTGCAGCAGTGGAAATGAGGCATTTAAATATCCCATATTTTAATATCTTAAGATTCTGGCCAAAGCAAAGACCATAGTTTATGCATATACTGTCAATTATCAATTTTCAGATGGCACCTCAAATATTTTTCCAAGACTAGTAAATAGTAATCCTCTTGCAATCAAGTTCTGCAAAGGGTGTCATGTATATATTTTAATTTACAGGGGAGAATTTTTGTAATTTCTATATGATAATAAAGGAAATTAAGTAACAGCATTTTCATGACCTCTCCTTAAATGATTTTGCACAGTAATTATGAATGAGACCCCAAGTAAGAAAGGATGCTCTTCTAAAGTCCAGCTAAAAAAAAAACAAACTGTATGAACTGTTGTAAAAATAAAAGATTTTTTTTTTTAACCTCTTCTTTGTGATGTTGTAAGTGTCATTATACACATCAAATTAACTCAGCCAAACTCCACCAGTTTTCCTAGGATTGTTTGGAAATAAATTGCTGCAAAAAAATATCCATGATTTAAAACAGTATTTATTTTGAGACACCTTCTTGTACTTTCAAACCTGCTAGTATCATCTATTTTAAAAAAAATTAATACAACCACTTTCAGCTCACATGTTATTCTATTTCTGCCCTATATACTAAAGCTTATGAACAAAGGAGTCATATTAATCTTTAAATATGAAAATAGTTTTTGCATTTAAATAATCTACTATTTAAAATATGCCACTCAGATTAAAGTAACAATACAAGAACCTGTTGGACAGTTGTGTAATAGACATTAAAAATAGTATTGTATTTAAAAAAAAAAAATTCTAACACTATTGTATTACTCTTTGGGGCCAAGTACATTAAAATACATATGGCAAATATGAACTTTCTAATATCAGCACAGCTAGAAACTATGCACTTATTCAATTAACCAATATAAGCCTTTAGATTTTAATGGAAAAAAAAATGGGCATTATAATTTCTTTTTACATAAAGAGTATATTTGCATTTAGTTATTAAAATAACAGGACAGACTGATGGTCTATAACTATTCCTAACTGTACTGGATCATCTTTAAAAAACAAAACAAACCCAAAGTAGAACCACAAACAGAAAAAGAACATTATTTTTTTAATAACTAAAGGGGAAAAAATACTGAGCTGTTACGACATTTTCTTGTAGCCCCTTTAACAGAGCACTGATTGCTATTGTTGGTAGTGACCTTTCGTTTCTATTTGGAATAAAGAATGTTTTCTTTAAAGCTCTATTTATCTATTTTTACAAATTATAGTTTGCAATTCATATTCAGCATGTAAATGGAGAAAATAAAATACAGCTTGGGGCATCGTTAGTTAGCCATGTTCACATCACACAGTTCAAGGTGGTCGGTTCAGATTACTTGGTCTCCATAGCCGTGCGTGTTTTCCTGCACTGGACACGTTACAAATGAGTCTGGTCTTGCTATTTTTAATCTCCTGCCTGTTTTATCACAGAACACAGTCTCAAATTCCTAAAAAAAAAAAAAAAAAAAAAAAAAATATATACAAAAAAAAAATAACAATTATGGTTAATGTAGGTATTTACTTGAGATGTATGTTTTGAAATGTATTCAATGAAACATACATATTTTTTCTTCTCTAACAAACACCAAACCCTCTCCACCTGCATTGCTACTTCTTGCACATAAACTAAAATATATCAACTTTACATTTTACTCAGTGTAACGATGGGAATATCACAGTATCAGTATTTGAGGCTTCAAAAACTTTGGTCTTCCTACTCCTCACAGAAATTACCTCCTGTCTCTCTCCATGCGGTTATGTCTTGGGACTAGTATCTTGGGATAAAAAATAATACAGCTTTAATAGGAAGTGCTGAGGAGCCACACCAGCATCTAGGCAAGCAGGTTTTCCTATACACACTCCATCTACTCTCTTAAGATACTCAGCACAGCCAGAATTCCTCTGGGGCTGCAACTACTGGTGTGGTTGCAGGGGAGCTGCTTATAGGACATATAAGCCTTGACTACTCTCACCCAGTTTGAGAAAATGTGGCCATGGAGCTGCGAAGGCCACCACTGAACTACCAGTTCATGAAAGCTAGCTAGGACTCTGTGAAACAAGCAGAAAATAGAGAAAATTAAGGAGGGGGGACTGATTGAGGAGGACCTCAGTTCTGCAGTGTTGTCCAGAGAGTAGTATGCTCAGGAACTGGGCTAACTAAAAATAAATTTAAAAACACCCTGACTGAGGACAGCCTATGATTTCACACTATTGAACTCAAACTGTTGTGACAACAGCTACTAAAAAAAAATCATTTTTAAACAGAAGTTTCAATGATATAGAGGTCCTTCACAAACAGCATCAAGCAGAAGCATTCTATTTACTTTATGTTACGACAGCTTTAAAACATTTCACATTTTTATCAAGAACGAAAATGAAATTAAATTTAAAAACCTGTTTCAGAGAATCACCATGCCTTTCCTGAATGTATTTCAGAAATGCAGTTGTCCATTGTAAAGTTGTTGCCTTATCAGTATCAACGGTGCAGAATGGAACCAGAAGATTGAGCTCATCACAACAAATCCGGATTCTGCGCCTGCAGGCAAATACAAAAAGTTATCAACTGATGGGCAAGAAGGAAAAAAAAATAAAAACCAAAGATTTCTCACCTGCACTACAAGCCATGGATCATGGGGACTTCTTTTTGTTTGCTAAAAGCTTTGTAGTTGTGTTTAGTTATACACAAGTTACTTTATGTTTACAGAACTGGTTAAATGTTTTGAAAGCTCTCTTTTTGTTTGTTTATAGAGTAAAAAAACCAACACAGACAACCACAATGAAACATACATATTTTTTCTTCTCTAACAAACACCAAACCCTCACCACCTGCATTGCTACTTCTTGCACATAAACTAAAATATATCAACTTTACATTTTATTCAGTGTAACGATGGGAATATCACAGTATCAGTATTTTAGGCTTCAAAAACTTTGGTCTTCCTACTCCTCACAGAAATTACCTCCTGTCTCTCTCCATGCGGTTATGTCTTTCTCTTCGCTGAGTGAATCCATCCTGGCTCCCACTTTGCATCTGCATATTTGAATTGGACTGTGCTGACTGCCAAGGGCCCTGGGCAGATGATGCAGTGCTCTGGCTATCATCATGCATATTCTGAATTTCACCAAGAGGTTTGCGATCTGTGTTTGTATCTGGTGGGCTTAGCTGGCTGCAACTTCTTTTGTTTATTGCTTGTTTGCATAAGGTGTCTTCTTGGAAAAACAAAGAGGAAAAGATGAAGTTATTTATAAGCCTCTCACTAATCACTGAAAATTAAGACAATGGAATTTTTTTGTTGTTGCTTTATTTATGTGGAATAATCTTTGAAGCTTTAGTGCCAACCTAGATAGACTCTTACAGCAACACGTGTCCTTCAGGAGCCCTAAAGGCACTACTTGGTGGTTCAAAATTCACCTAGCTTCTATATTTATTCTGTTGAGATCACACCTGCCTTTGATAAGCATTTGAGGCAGCTGATATGACTGGATCTGCTATATCAACTTTGGGGTCAAAAAGTGTAGGAAGAAACCAGTTGCTTACTCTAAGCTCAGATTTTCAAAGGCACTTAGCAAACTCAGGTTTTCTCATTTCAAGACAGAAGTGCTAAAAAATTTTGAAGGCACAGCTAAAATCACAGGTGTTGAATTTGTGTGGAGAAATCTAGTCCTGTGTTGCCTATAGGCCACCTCAGACATAAAAACCACACCTCACATGATTCACTAAAATCATATTAATACTAGATAACACACAGATTCGTTAAAAAATGTAGATTTGAAGGCAAAGAGAAAGCTAAGTGAAAAGAAGATAAATGGTTTACCTCCGACTTTAATCCAAACTTCCTCAGGCAAAGCTTTATTCACAGCACCCACTGTCTGTTTTGTGGATTCCATTTCCTGATAGCAGAAAGAAAATGTCTTCTGTATCCCAAGGTCTTGACGTTTGGCAGCTTCCAAAATAGTGCAAGATGCTCCAGAGGTCTGTGAAAACCAAAAAGGAAATATTCAGAGGACTGCAAACATTAAAACCAGACTATTTTGATATCTTCATGTTAACTTCTGCAGTTTTAGCCCCATGATTCAATATGTTGTACCAGAATAAATCCAAATTACTTCTGCACACCACAACCATGGGATTTTAAGAGACTGATATATTTTTGGGGGATACCACTGACATTTCTGAGTGCCATGCTATCACTTGCTTCAGAGGTTACTGCTAGTTGGGGGAAAAAAATCTTTTTCATCAAAACTAATTAGAAAAAAAAAAAGGAACCATAGAAAATGGTATTAAGTGTCTCCTTGTCCTGTGTAGATGAAGCAGATACAGGAAGGACTTGAGTTTGCCAGTGTAAGAAGCCCAACAGCCTATTAATCATTATCTGGATGCATGTTATTACAAGTGACACAACTGCCACACAGTTAATTTGTGTCAAATTACATCTGATGATCTTAAAGATTAACATAAGAATAAATAAACTGCATCACAGATCATTCTGATCATCCCTGTTCAAACCAAGTCACACTTTAACACAAATGTTTAGAATTACATTACACCTAAGAGGTTAACATTATTAGCATTTGAAATTAGCAGAGTACAACTGATGATTAATACATTATCTACCTGTGCTTGTGAAGGACTAGCACTTCCAGCAGCAGAACAGGCGTTCATAGTAAATAAAGGGTATGTGAACTGTAAACAAGGTGCATCAGGTGCAGCCTTATTTTTCTCTAACGCAGCACACTTGTTTTCTTGCTGATGAAGAGGGACAACTGTCAGTTCTGACGGCTGTCGAATCAGTGTTACTAAACTTAAAAAAAACAAACAAACAAAAACAAACAACACAGGAAACACACCAGACTGACTACTTGAACCTGACTGC